CAACTTGTTTTTTGCTTTTTTTTTTGTTTTTTTTTTTTTAGTGTGTTTTTCATCTTTCTCTTTCTTTCTTTCTTTCTTCATTTTTTTTTTCCTTTTTTTTTCTTTTTCCTTATTTACACAGAGGAGCGGAAAAAAGTGGCGCGAAATTCGAAATAAATTCTTTAGTATTCTCGATAGGCAACGCGGTTCCATATTAAGACGAGGCAGTCTGTTTTAGTGAGAGGAAAGAAAAAAAAGAAAAAAAATAAAAGACGAGAAAAAGATTTTGGAGTCTTGCTCTCAATTCGTCGAAATGACGCATACATCGACGAACGAATTCGAAACCACAACGAAATCTTTCTCTCCTTGTAAGAACGCAAGCACAAGACGGAAGCCCATAAGCGTAAGTTTGAACGTATATATAATATGTATCCGTATCAGATGTGTGTGTGTATATATATATATATATATATATATATATATGAAGAAGCGCGCGCAAGCAAATTCATGTTTGTACATACGTGTGCTTTGAATAAACCTTTTATAAATAGAGTTTAAACGGGAGTAGCATTCAGAAATGGATATTTTTACGATCCTTCGTAACAATGAATATTCAATTGGAATTGAAATCATGGCACCTTTATTGCAATCGAAAATTTCTCTAATTAACAATATCCGATATGGGTGCGTGCATGTACATACATACATATATATATATATATATATATATATACACACACACACATGCATATATATATATATATATATATATATCTATTTATATATACAGTAGAATTTTATTATTATTCCGACACATAATGAAAGCTTTTTTAACTCGAAATAAACAAAATTTATAATACAATATTCTTACTTTCTCACTTTCTCTCTCACAAACACACTCTCTCTCTCTCTCTCTCTCTCTCTGTCTCTCTCTCTCTCTCTCTCTCTCTCTGTCTCTCTCTCTCTCTCTCTCTCTCTCTCTCTCTTTCAGAATTGATTTCACTTGTCGAATCTCGAATACGTGTACATATTAATATTGATTTATCGATCCAACTCATTTCCCTCGATTCATTCGAATAATCGAAATTCTACCATATTGAAAGCGAACCGTATAACGCTAGACCACTTTTATAATACATGTATATATTTTTCTCTCTTTTTCTTTCTTTTTACAATTTCAACAATTTACAAAGAAAAAAATATTATATTTGTAAGGAAAAATTTTTGTTTTCTTTTTTTTTTTGCGAATTTATCAACAACAAAGGTTTACAAGAAATATTACGTTAAACGATTCGCTCCTGTACACATACATACATACATATATGTATGTATTTTTGAATTTACATTAGAAACGTATATTATATTATTATGCAATATACAAATCGGAAATATTTTATTATTTTTTAAAATACTATTCGATATATTACTTTCAACGTTGCAACTTGCCGCATGGATCGGTCGATCCACTTGTTTTACGCTTGCGTTCTCACTGTTGAAATGTTACGTCAAACTCTCTTTTTTGTTCTCTCTATTTCTCTTCCTCCCTCCCTCTCTCTCTCACTCTCTCTTTCTCTCTCTCTCTTTAAGTGCGCTCGAAGTTCTCAAAAAACGAATGTATCGTCGATTCGTTCATGCGACGAGAAACGATCGATATTCACGATTGTTTCTCTCTGTCTCTCTCTCTCTCTCTCTTTCTTTAGTAATATTTGTCTTATCTAAAATGGTCCTTGTTAATCATCGCGTTTCAACGAGCACGATACAAAAAGTATAGCTCGTTGTCTTCTACTTGCCGACTATATGTATTTCCTGTCTTCATTGTACCCTTTCTTTTCTCCAAAACGCGCAACTCACTACGCGCACGCGTAAAAGCACGTGCACGTATGCAAGTATATATAATATGTATGTATGTATTTATGTATTTATGTATGTATCTTCTAAGCTACATTTCAGTCACACCTTCGCTCGACTCTGCATGTGTTAAGAGTTATACGATACACTTTGTAGCTCGCAATAAAAAAGTAATATATACGAATATACACATATATATATATGTATATATATATATATATATACATATATATATATACATATATATATATATTTTTTTTTTTCTATATTTGTCTTATATTTTTTTCGCTATCGACGAAACGAAATATATTATGCAATTCATACTAGTATATGAAAAATTTTTTTTGACGTTCAAATGGTATGATATATATTGAGAATTATCACGATGTATTGCTTTTCTGTATTTTTCTTGAATTATTGATTTATATTATGCCTGTACACACACACACACACACGCACGCACACACACATACAAACAGATAGATAGACAGACAGACATACGTACGTACGTACGTACGTATATCGAGATGCAAGAATAGTACGCGTGGGAATATTCTTTCGATTTTATTATGATTTACTTTTCGTATATTCTACGTATCGATTTTTTTTCATCGTTTACGTATGTACGTATGTATTTAGATATTTGCAACAAATGATATGTATGTTATAATCTGTGAATGTCTATTTACATTAATATTGTTAATGCTGACGAACGAATATATTCGATCATACTACTGACTTGAATTGATGATATAATATTATAATATGCACTCAAAGAAATTGAAGACAACAAAAAAAAAAAAGAGTTAAAAAAAAGAGAAAATTTAGACAGGAATGATAACCACGCGAACTAATAAGTGTAATGAACTAATAAGTGTAATGAACTAATAAGTGTAGAAGTGTATCGCGAACTAATAAGTGCATGTTTGACTCATACACGATGATTCCTTCTTGTCTTCTTAATGATTCATCTTGTCTAAAATTTATTCTTACGTTGGCAAGCCAACACGCGATGTGATAACATTTTAGTTGATAAGTCTTATCAATGTTATCTACGAATTGTGTTATCGAATTGTTTAAAAAAAAGAAAAAAAAAAAAAATGAAAATATAATTTCTAATTTTTCCTTACGAATAAATTTGGACATTCAAGAATAATAAACGTAATGAATTTTTAAATCATCAAAATATTCATTGAATCTTTATTATTATTATTATTTTTTTTTAAAGCTATCCAATTGACATTCTTTCTCAACGTTCTTTTTATTATTTTTTTTTTTTTTTTTACATTAACATTTTAACAAGTTCCCAATGTAATATGGGACATATCCAATACAATTAGATTTAAATTAATTATTATTATTTTATTAATTATTATTTATTTTTTTCTTTTCTTTTTATAATAAAATTGTACAAAACTACTTTTTGAGATAATTCTGTTCAAGATAACAATAAAGAAGGAAACTTGTACATATGGAAAATAAAGAGTCGAATTTATAAAGGTTCTCACCATAATAAATAATTTACGTATGTATGCACGAAATATAATTCCTCATTACTAATCATATATATATATATATTTATATATATATATATATTTATATATATATATATATATATTTATATATATATATATATTTATATATATATATATATATTTATATATATATATATATATTTATATATATATATATATATATATATATATTTGAATGAAATTATGACGAATGCGTTTGTACAATTTCGATACAATTAAAAAAAAAAAAAATAAATAAATAAATAAATAAATAAAAAATAAAGTCAAACAATATCACGATCGAATTTAAAAACAACATTCTAAGAATAATATTGAAATAATTGATCACTAAATTGTATAAAGTCGAACTTATTAATCAATTAATGACTAACGATTCAGATGTTGAATGGTTAAATAGCGATAAACGTGATGAAGTCTGATCCGCGATAAATTTATAATGAAATAAAATATTTACAATATTGTAGGATAATAAAAACGTAAGCATATAAATCTAAAAAATCGCGTTTGTGAATATGTGTGTATGTGTGTGTGTGTGTATGTATATATATGGTGAAAGATAGAATTTTATTCTTTGTAATGCTGATAATGTGATACGAGAAACGTGCTAACTTTTAAGCAAGATTATGCCCCAGACCCTAGTTGTATTAAAGTCGTCGATGCGATCAGAATCGTCAGTGTCATTGGAATCGTAAATTGTTAAACAGAGTCGCGAGAAGGACAGTGCGTTTTATTGTTTCGAATTAAATTAAATATACAATTATTATTATTATTATTATTATTATTATTATTATTATTATTATTATTATTATTATTATTATTAGTATTATTATTATTATTATTATTATTATTATTATTATTATTATTATTAATATCACGATATCGCTTCGCGATCAATAACTTATCACCCAGCTCTCTCTCCTTTCCTATAATATGTACGCTGACGAACGAATTCTTCACAGATTTTACTTCGTTCGATTATCGATCAAACGTTTTCAGTCGGCAGTAAAACTTCTTATTGATCGTATTCAGAAGGAAATTCGCGTAATCTCGCGGCGACCCGATTCGCGTGCCATTTTGCGAGCAAATAAAAAATAGATAGAAATAAGAAAGAAGTAGAAGAAGAAGAAGAAGAAAAAGAAGAAACGATATTCGAAAGAGAGAGACAAAAATATTATCGTACGTAGAGAGATATTTCATGCATATTGCAATATCGTAGATATGTAGCGCGAAATATATAGAATAGTGCGCGATATGCCATCAAGTATCACTATCCTCTGATTTTACGCGATAAGGAAGAGAAATTATTAAAAAAAGAAAAAAAAAAGAAAAAGAATCAAGAGTTTAAAGAAAGAGGAGAGAGAGAGAGAGAGAGAGAGAGAGAAAGAATAGAGAAAGAGAGATAAAGAGAATCAGAACAAGAGCGAATGAGAGAAAGGGAGGGAGAGAGAGAGAGATAGGGAGGGGGAGAGAGAGAGAGAGAGAGCGAGAGAGAAAGAGAGGGAGAAGAGAGAGGGGAGGGAAGAGAGAGAGGGAGGGAGAAATAAAGAAAAGGGAAGGAGGAGTAAAAATAAAATAGGGAGAAAAGAAGAAAAAAAAATCGATGGGAAGAGAGAACGATTTGCTATCCTAATATTTTACTTTCGTCTTGACTTCCTCCGCGACGCCGCCCCATCTGAGCTTGTAAACGCGCGAACGCCACTGTATCAGAGGATCCAGGACGGCTTGAACGAAGAGATATGGTCTCGTGATCTCACTGAGAAGCCATCCACAGACGAACATGAGTTTGTTGAAGGGCAACGGCCCGTTCTGTACGACACACAAAAGCGTCCAGTCGAACATGAACCACAATAGTATGTGTACAAGATAAAAAACTAAGGAGTCCCAGTCGAATAGAACACTGGCCGCCCATGAGGCACAGGCGCCTAATACGAGGCACTCGCTGAGAGGTTCGAAGACGATCGTGGTGGGTAACATGGCGACACGAAGCTTGGCCCACCTCCTGAGCCTCGCCTGGAAGGAGTGCAACTCGCAGTGGCCGCTGTTTTGCAAGGCCGGCTGAGAGCAGACGGTTATTCGCCAGCCGCGGTCGGTCAATGACTTAGCGTAAAAGAAGTCCTCAGCGAGATAGACACCGAAGGTCTTGAGGCCGCCGACCTCGTCCAAGGTCGCTTTACGAAGTAACGCCGACATACCGGTATGACAGTTTATTCTCAAAAGATCAGCTGCCAGGTACATCCTCGATTGTACAGTACCGAAGAATATCTTTTCGTATGCTGCGGCGAAACCGTCGCGGTCATACGTGAAGGGCATTTGATGTACCAATGCGACCTTATCGGTCATGTGATTGACCATATCCAACAGAGTGTCCTCCTTCATCCTTATACCGCTGTCACTTATAAGTACCAACTCGTATTTAGCCGTCTCGTAAGCCGGCTGCATGTTGTTGATTTTTGGATTGACCCCGACGTTCCTACCGCCGACGAATACTCGGGTCTCTATTTGGGGATATTTTTCAATTAATTTCCCTACCAGCATCAAAGCTGGATCGGAATCATCCTCGACGCAAAAGAGCAATTCATATTTAGGATATTCGATCGTGAAGAATGTCTCGAGATTATTGAATAGATTCGGATCTACTCCCATTAATGGTTTTATGATTGAAACACCAGGCAGAGGAGTCTCGTAGCTCGGCATTTGGGCGATCTTTCGATGAAGCTTCCAACGGCCGGCTATTAAAGCCAACATGTGAACTATCCACATGCCCGACCAGAATATCATAAAAAATATTGCGAACCCGTAGAGGGTATACAGCATGGAGTTCATCTTCGAGTAAAGGGTCGTAGGAGGGTGAGGTGGAGGTCGAGGAGGAGGGAGTAATTCACGGATATGACTCAGAGAATTGGCAACCGGCAGCGGTGGCGTGCACGGTCTCGCGTGCTTAACTCCAGGCCTTCCTCTCCTTCTTCTTTTATGCTATTTGATCGTCCGAGCAGCTTCTTCTTCCTCGAGATTGTCGTCGTAATACCTAAGATCGAGGTTCCATCGCGAGGCGAGCCGTAACCTGAGATTAAAAGACAACGACGACGACGACGACGACGACGACGACGACGACGACATCTTCGAGGTTCACTGAGAGAGAAAGGAACTTGGATCACGCGACAAGACTTTCCTCCTTTTTTCCCGTCTCTGTTATCTCTCTCCTCATCTTCGTCACCGTCGCCCTTTCTTTCATCGTTCTTTTCCTCTAGATCGTCGTCGTCGTCGTAGGGAGTCTTGCGGCCCTTGGGAGTCACCGCGCACCACTGCATTCAAGATCCTTTAACGGAGGATCTTGTTGTTTGTTTCCTTTCTTCTCTCTCTCTTTCTCTTTCTCTTTCTCCTTCCCTCTCTCTCACTCCTTTCTTCTCTCTTTTTCTTTTTCTAATTTTCGAGGACGACAGAGACGGTCGGCGACGGTGACGGTCGCGCCGGCGATGCTCGCGTCTACCGTCGTCGTCGCGTTACGCTCCCTTCTCGTATAATCGTTCACAACTTTCCTCCCTGAGCACTATTCTTATGACTTTTCTTTCTCGTTCTTCCTTTTTTCTATTCCTGTTAACGGTCCTCAATGTTTTTCGTCGAACGATCAACGCGTATGCCGGCACGACCGTCGAAACGACCGACAACGACACGACCGCCACCGTCACTGTCACCGCCGCCACCGTCACTACTATCACTATCTTTGCTTGAGCCACCACTACTACTTCTATCAGCACTACTACCACCACCAAAACCAACCTCGCGGCATCACTACCACTACAATCATTTCTTTCACTACTACCATAGCCGCTATCGTAATCACTTGGTCGACACGCGTCGTCACCTTTAAACTTGGAAAGACCATAAATGACAATATCGAAAAGTACAGAGGAAACTTTTGCCGGTAAAGAAAATATGTCGACTAACGGCGTATAAAATTTCGTCCGTTCTCTTGTACTATACTCAACGTTATTATTTTTTCGTATTTCTTGATAAATGTTACTGTCGTTTCTCTCGTATCTCGGCCGTCTCACGACGCCTTGCACGGCGCGTCCCATCGACGCACCGTGGCGCTACTCTTTCTCCTCTCCTATTTTCGATGATTCTTCTCGTGAGACTCGTCGGCTCGTAATGCTCTTTCTCTCTCTTACTCTTCTTAGTTCACTGATTTATTCTCTCTTTCTCTCTCTCTCTCTCTCTCACACACAACACACGCACTATTTTTCTATTTCTCTTTATTTGCCTATCTATTCCTTTTTCTCTTCTTCTGTATGTCTCTCTCTTTCTCTCTCTCTCTCTCTCTCACACACACTCTCTCTCTTTCTTCTCTAAAAGGTGACTATCTTACGTTTCCTTACTGAACACGTAACGGTGTTACGTGTATCACTTGTTGGCGCGGTGAAAACCTTCCTCCGCTTTTTCCTTCTCCTTTTTCGTTTCCTCATCGACTATGATCACCGATTATTCTTTCACATTTTCGAATATATCTTATTACCATTCTCTCATGTGTTTTTCTTATTTCTTCATTGATATCGTACATTCGAGAAAATAATACTCGCGCTCGTCTACATTTATTATTTTTCTTCATGTCGATATTACGCTCTCTCTCTCTCTCTCTCTCTCTCTCTCTCTCTCTCTCTCTTTCTCTCTTGGTTACGTGCTCATACCTGTGATGCGAGCAAACCACGCCGACGTTTTGACGTTAATCACCGACGTACGGACGATACTTCGCGATGCTTCACGATGCGGCATCTAACAATAAATTTGACACTACTGCCCCTGACGCCGCCGCCATCAACGTAACCGTCACTGTCACCGCCGCTGCCACCACCACCACCACCTCCACCTCCACCTCCACCTTCACCACCACCACTACCTCCACCACCACCACCGTCACCGTCGCCGTCGCCGTCACAGCTGCTATTTGCTGCTGTTACTCCTACTACTACTACTACTATACTACTACACTATTGCTGTTGCTGTTGCTGTTATTGTTGCTGCTGTCGCTGCTGCTGTTATTACTGTTATGCGATTCGTTCTTACTCGTATCTTTTCTTAATTTGTAGAGGACAAACGGCGACAAGACGACGACATATGCGCCACAATCGACCAATCCACCTTCGATAACCGGCATCATCAAAATTCTATGATTCTTTCGATCTTGTTAATCTTTCTATTTTCTTTTCTTTTTCCTTCTTTTTTTGTTTTCTTTTTTTCTTTTTTTTCCATCGTTCATTCGACTTTTCAATCGAAATTACAATTACACGAATTTTTTTCGTCTCGTGTTTATCGTTCGTTCATTAAAATATATATTATAAATTTCAATTGACATTTACAATTCATTTCGTTAACATCTCGTCGTTAAAGCTTTGGGAATGTTTGGAGAATGATATAAACGTCGGATATATTTGTCATGTTCGCTTTTTAATGATTTTTTTAATGTCATTTATTAAAAACATTTTATTGAAGCTATATGTATAAAGATAAATGGATCAGAGAATATATGCTTCTTTACAGATATTACTTTTTTCTTTTTTTTTTTTTTTTTTTTTTTTTTTTTTTTTTTTTTTTTTTTTTTTTTTTATACAAAGTAATTCCTATTGAGATTTTTAATATACTCTCACATATATAAATTCAACTTATAAAATAAATATCTTTCTTTTCCTTTGCCGACAATTTATTTTTAACAATTGCAAAAAGCAATTCTCAAAGATTGAGAATTTTTAAAAAGGGGATAAATAATTTGTAAAGCCGAGATTACATCTATTACTCGTTTATCACATAAAAGCGATGTTGTAACATGAATCGCTCGTTTGTATGTGATATTTATAAAGATTATGCAATAATGACAGAGAGAATACATAGAGTAACAAATATGAGGAATCAGCGATGTCATTCATAATTTTTCTATATAACTCGCATCGTTCAAAGTATATCAATATTTCATTATTAAACTATGTGCCTATAAGTCATTTGCCTTAATAATAAGTTTTTATAAATTTATCAATAAAAATTAATAAATGGAGTAATCTTAAAAAGTAAACCACGTTTACGTTGAATTTATACAGATACATTTACGAATCTGATCGAATTCATTCGTATTGCACCAGAAATATATAAAAAAAAAAAAAAAACAAATAAAAATAAGTTTTTATCAAAATACAGATATTAAGAATTTCACGATTTATTATTTAATCTAATCTATAGAAATAAAATCTTATATGTGCGTATAAATGATTATATTGATAGTAGATAAACATGATATTGTTGGTGCAATATATACATATGTTCCATCTGTTTATTTCAAGTTTATAGAATGCAACTTTTGTACTACATCGTATAGATATCATAAAATATATTTTTCTATCAAATCTTATATATGTGTATATATATGAATATATATATATATATATATATATATATATATATATATGTATATATGTATATATATATATACATATATACATATCTATTTATTTAACAAATGCATTTATTTCCATTGTGCCTTCACGTTTTTTTTTGCATTGCCAATACTTTTGTTATGTAAATGTGCAAAAGCACATAAAAAATTTATCTCTAAATATAAATTTAATTCTTTTCAGCAATACTCTAAAATTATCACATGACATTTTAATTGTCGTATTATTAAAGTTTTAAGTTAATTGCATCGTTTCATGTCTTAGTAATGCGCCTCCTCTATATATCCTTTCATGCTTTTTGGCAAGGGCAATTTGTGAATATTGTCCAATCTTGTATTTTGTCGTATAACGAAACGACAAAGATATTGTAAACTTTTTACTTGAGTGAACCTACTAACTGGCTTTGTTAGTCTTACAGGAAACGATGGACAACCAGGATATTTAGGTCTTGAATAACAAATAACTGCCGTTTCACTGAAGTTCATAGAATAATCGATTAAAGCAGCTATTGAAGTAAAGGATTTACTTTCTCCACGGTTGCATAATGAAAAAATACCTCTACTGTGTTCTATTCGTGCATGAAGTAATTTCCCCGATGATTTAAAACTTAATGTTAATAAATACCTATTAACAAATATCAAATTAAATATATTTTTTATATGTAAAATGAAAAAAAAAATATATATATATAAAATGATAGTTTACCTGTCATCGGATGAATCTCTAACTAAAAATGCACCATCTGGTTCTGACATGAGTTTAATATCAGCCTCGTTTCCAGATATGGGACCCCAATACCAACCATATTTGCTCAATTTCAATAATTCCTCTGTAAGACATGCCTTCAACTTACTTTCATCGTTTATTACCATATCATTTTCTCCATCCGTATTACTCGTATATTGTACTATTTGTTTTTCATCTGTAGTACGCAATGCTGGGGATTCTATTGATGGATCAATATGCATTTTATTTTTCGTATGATATTCTCCATCAAGTACATCTAAATCTTTTGTTTCTTCTTTTGAATAAATATCTGTCTCACAATCTAAAGGCGAAGAAAATTGAGTATTGCAATTAACTTTGTTTTCATCTATAGTAGTTTGCGTAATATTGGCTTGTAAATTATCAATATTTATAGAAGGAAGACAGTGTTCGACTAGTGGCGTGTCAATATAAAAAGAAGATTTTGCTGGCTTGTCGTTTTCAACTGTATACATTATTTGTTGGGCCTCATAAAGATGATCAACTGTGATAGCTTTGCTTGTCTGCAAAAATTTTATTATAACATTGAATGTATACATATATAAGTATACATATATACTAAGTATATATATATATATACTTACTTTTTGCTTAGCTTTGCAAATTGCAAAATGTCTCTTAATATTTCCAAAAAAACCGTGTGGTATTTTGTTGGTATTATTATTTTGTGATTTGCATGGTGCAACGTTGATAGTGTTAGGATCTTCTCCCTTCCATTTATTTTCATCTACTTTTATGACATTTTCACGATAATGACGTTTCCATAAGAAACCCAAAGGCTTCTTATTCAATTTCCAAGATATTAATCCGTATCTTGAAGTTTTTGTATTATCCATTTGATTGACCATATCCAAAACAGAAGACCAGAGTTTCGTTTTCGTTCAAGTGTCAACAAAACACGGAATTTGATTAATTATCATTGGTAATATTTATGATATTATATACATTTAGAATTGAAATAGTTTAATAATTATTTTCGTTTAAATGAGTATATTGTACACATTCAGTTTCACTCTAACCTAACATGTATTTTTCTTCATTAAAAATTGACACTATTTTTATCACGTTTTTGATCAAACGTACATATAATTCTCTTCTAATTAGGAATCAAAAACATCGATCAGCGATCAAGCTGTCGCCAATGAACAATGCTTATTCGAACATTATAGTTAAAAAAAACTGTTAATCTCAATTCACATTAAAATACTATTGAAAATTTCGATTCCTCATAAATTATCAATACTGTAATTTTTGATTGTAAAAATTAATTTATATTCTTCTTATTCTTTTATCTTTTCGGAGAATAGCCATCTATTAGGATTCATTTCTATGAGATATCCACCAACCAATAATTTGTTAGTTGGGACAATAATTTGGGTTGGTATTCATGAAATAGTTGAGCATATGTAAATGGCGAGTTGTGATGACGATCATAATGAAAAATCCCTAGAACAGTATACTTAACAATCATAATACGACGTATGCTTGACGGTGTATTTTCGCGTTATTTGTCTCCAAATATAAAAATATTTGAACAGTCAAAACGAAGTCAAAATGAAGTTAACAATTGTATCAGTTCAAGTGTATTTAGATGAGAATAAAATAACATATTTAATTAATTTTAGAAAAAGATATTGGACTGATATAACCTAGATTATACTTTTGATTACATTCAATTCCATTTCTAACATATAAAGAAAAAAATAACACTGATGTGTCGCTGACCCCACCTAATTTTATACTTAATAGAATCGAGTTCGTAGATTAATAGCAAAATCTTCATACATGCATCAACGTAAAGAGTAAATAGTAAATACTAATAATATCATTTTTTTTCATCGCTACGGCTTACATCTTTAATTAAAATACGTAGAGGAGAATAGTCGACTCTGATTGGTAGATCTCTTAACGTAGAAATTGAAGAGGTTAGTTTTGGTCGTAACCTATAAGAATAAGGTTAATAATTCATATGATAAAATTAGATATAGCTTAAAGTACATTTTATGTGATATTACTTTATTGCTACAGTTTGATAAACTTTGTTATTATGTTTATTAAGGAATAAGTTTATTGATTAACGTGATGTCATTATTTCGAAGTAAAACATTTCGCTATGGTCTTCCATTCATAATTTTAATCGTCGGTGGATCGTTTGGACTCAAAGAGTTTACACAAATAAGGTATATAGGAATTCGTGTATATATATATATATATATATATATATATATATATATATATATATATATAATTTTATAAAACAAAAATAATGGAATTATAAGATGACTTAAGATTTGACCATTTATAATTACATAATTTATGTTATAATTTGTCTCTATGTCTTTAGCTTTTGCTAATATAAGAGATTCTTCTTTTAGATATACATACAGACAACAACGGGCTTATTACCATGAAGCAAAACGATTAGGTATTGAAGTAAAAAAACCAGGAGAAATTACTTTAGATTCTGAATTTGAAAAAGTTAAAGAGGTATGTTACAACAAGTTGTAAATAAATACTGCAATATATGTAAATATTTTAGAATACGTTGATAAGATAAATTTTATAGAAATAGTTCTTATTTATTAATGAAACTTTACTTTATATTTTTTATATATTATGAAAGTTTTTTTATATTCTTACTTTAAAAAAAAAAGCAGTCAGATTTTAGTTTCCATAGATATGGATTTATAAATAAATGTCTCGTAATTTAAAAAAAAAATTATAAATGGTTTTTATTTTTTTTTATTTATTACAAAGTTAAACGTTATTATATCCTTCTTATTATAATTTTAGCTGGATATCGATAATTGGAAAAATGTAAGAATATCAAGACCTTGGGAGGAATAGATACAAAATAAATTATTTCCTATAAAATATACAAGAGTAGATGTACTTATGGTAGTGCTATTAATATAGAATTTAAATAATGCCTATAACAATGTAATGCAATTTTTTTTTTTCAGGGATGCATAACAATATTTTCCTAAATATTCATTCAATATATATATATATATAGTTTCAGTATCAGATTTAATTTATTTAATTCTAACTTCAGTACTTCAACTTTGCTCTGTAAAATATAATATAGAACTTTTTATAAATATATAGCATGTAAATAATTATAATGAAGAAACTTACTTTTTTCAAATCCAAACATATTTAATAAACTTAGTTGTCCATGCTCAGAAGATAATTGTTTACTTCGATGGTCTCTTTTAATTGTGCTTTTTTTGTTGGTTCTCTGAAAAATATTAAAAATTAAAGAAATTTGTACAAGTATTTTTTGCAATAAATATATCTTTATGATATTCTTATTGTAGATAAATAAATACAAACCATTTGGAAGCTTGTTAGTTGCTTCTTTATTGTTTTACTAGAGTGAATGTCATTTGATGGATTTAATTTAATATTTGAAAATTTAAATGAACTATTTGTATTATCTTCTACACTATTTTGGCTAACTGAATAATCAGATTCTGAAGTAGGACTGTTTGATTGTGGCATATTACAATTATAGTTATTCATAATATCATTTGCATTAAAATTTATATATTCCACTTCGTTCGTTGAAGTAAATAAAATTTTTGACTCGTATGTATGATTTGAAGAACACATATCTTGCGTTGTAAATGTTTCTTCATTAATCATGTTTCTGTTAGCAATCGCATTCTTATTTTCATTTACTAATATATTCTGATCTGATTGTTTTGTATTTATGGAATATGTATTATCTAGATTATTAAGTTCTGTTAAATATTTTAAATCGCATTTTCTATCATCTACTTCTATCTTCATCTTTTTGGAAGTATGACTTATACATAATTCGTCCGATTCAAAATTAACATCATTATCATTATTTTTTGCATTATTTTTATCTATGTCTTCATTTATATTTGTAAAAAATTTACTTTCTGTAATTACATTCTCATCAATAATTGTTTTTCTAAAGTTTATTGTGCGCCCAGGTTTTATTCTACTTCTTCGTTTAAATAATAAACTGGGAGATATTTCATTACTAGATACTTCTTTAACAAATGGATTCGTTTTTCTAGTTAATATTGGAGATTTTTGTTCATTAACATCAGACACATTTTCTTTTTCTAAATATATTGCATTTTCAGATTCAATACTTTCTTCAGATTTATATGTGTCTAAAATATCTTTTTCGTTTAATTCTTGATAATTTGGAATATTTACGTCTAAAATAAAATAAACATTTAAATTAATTTAAAACAATAATTCGTATAAATTAAATATGATATAAATATTACCAGGATGATATTCTTTCTTCTTTAAATTAGCAGATTTTTTTTCCGAAGTACAAAATTCTTTTACAGACAAGTGATGCTCATAATTTGTTGTTTCTTTTTTATACATGTTTCCTGGACTTTGTTTTAGTTTATAATTGCGCGACCAAATGCTTATGTGTTTTGTAATTGTAATTAACATTTTTGGATTCACCTTATTCAAATTCTTTGAAAAATTATCAGAAAAATAAATAGAATGTAATATTAGAAAGAATAAAATATTTAACCATGTATTGTACCTGTTTTTTATCAGGATCAAAGTCATGAAGCTTTTTAAATGTGAATGGATCACAATTACCATAAGCAAGTTGTAATGCTTTATCAGGGTCTATCTCTTCTCCAGCATAATATAACTGATCTTCAGAAACGTCAGCTGAAGGAGAATTTAAACGTACTTGTTTTCTTTGTAAAGGGCAAAATACTAATTGATGTTTGAATGTTACAAATGCTTTCATAAAGTTGTCTTTATATTCCTTTGATACTGTTAAAGACTTCATATTAAGACAAATTCCTAAATTAGTAAGAGCCTGTAAAAATAATAATATTTACCTCTCTCTCCTCACTATATAGATAATATTATAGTATAATATCAGACAGAAACTGACCTTATATATATCACTGTTTGAATTCATACTTTGAATAAACTTTTTTGCTTTAGCTAATCCTATACCACGAAGTGAAGGTAAATAATCACATCCTGATAAAATGCACATATATCTAAATTTATCCATATCAAAATCCGTAGACTTCACGTCCATAGCAAGATGCAATTTGTCTTGTTCAACAAGTGTACCATTACCATTTACATCCATTTTAAAGAACACCTATGATTAGAATATATCATTAATCATTCTTTTCTGTTTAAAATCATTATCTCTTTATATAGAAAATGGTAAAAGTCACTAACTCTTTTACATCCAAATAATGTTAAATCACTATCTTCAGTGATAACAATATCTGCTATACCACTAATATTAAGATATGCTAATTGGGCATCAGCTTCATATGGAGCTACGATGCAATCTATATTTAAACTTTGACATGTTTTAATTAGTTCCAGAGCTATTTCATGTGTTACATCTATCGATTGTTTTAATAAATTCCTGCCTTCTGCAGTTTGTCCACTACGTATTAATTCTGCTGCTTGACGACGTTTTCTTTCTCTCATTCTAGAAATATATAATATATTTATATTAATATCAATAATATGTAAACATTATTATGATATAAAACGTTACATACTCGTGTCTTTTAGCTTCAGTATCTGCCTTAGCTGGTAAATGTCGTCCGTCAAATACAAGAATAGGTTTTATATTATATTTTAAAAGCATTTTTATAAATTTCATACAATATATTATGTATCTAAAAATTAAAAGTTAATCATATTTTAAGATGAAGTAAAAATGAATGTTTGGCCAAAATATTAATTGTTTAAATATTAAAAAAAAACTGATAATAAGATATATCATATTGAAACTGATAATAAGATATATTATAAAGTAATTACTTACGCATCTGTTGGTTCTCCTAATGATAGTTTTTCAGCACAAGAAAATATTCCTTTGTGTAACCAACAATAAGTATCAATGGCAACAGATTCACCTGCAAATTCATTTATATTTGCTGTTCTTGAAGATTTCTTCAAAAATGGTAGTAATCCTGTAATACCCATATTTCAAACATACAACAAAAGTACATTTATCACATAAAATATTTTAGTGATACATTTAAATAATTAATTATATATATTCACTTCCTTGTTGGATGTTGTCCTAGAATTCTCATTTCCGCCAAATTTTGAAGGTGACATTGTAAACTCAGCTATATGTAGGTATCCTCCAATTAGAGACATGATATACGGTATAAGAAGTAATACATTGGAAATAACCAATCACCATCCAAGTATGTTATATCTACAGATAGTAATTTATTAGGCTTTATGTTTTTATTTTTTAACTATTAGACACAAAATTGCATTTTGAAAAATGATTAATACTATTGTTCAGTTTATATGTTTAAATAATTTAAAAATTAATCTTACATATAAATACATTTAGTAGATAATGTATCATTCCATTTATTTCAGTTTACTTAAGTATTCAAAATTAACTATTTAAACGTTGTTCTTTGAAGGAAAAAAAAAATGAAAAAAAGAAAAGACCAGTTTATCTATTTACATGTATAATAAAATGAAATTAATTTAATTTTCGACAATTTTATGAAATTAAATAAAATCCAAATGAATAGTTTTTCTATTGTATATGGTTATATAAATTATAATTCCTAAGTGTCATTCGTATGTATGTACATGCATACTTTATGCATCAGACTTAATTTCAAACGAATGTACAAATCTGGCAGTTGGTTTATGGTCATATTGTCATATTGTTCGATACGAATTTTTAATATACTGCGACGTGTTGCGATTTAAATTTTCTTTTTTTTTTTTTTGATTATATAAAATTTATAAATATAAATATTTTTTGACCTTATTTAAATAATAATAAATTTGTTTACATTGGTTAGAGTTTAATGGATTAATGAGAGTTTATGGATCATTCTAAGTACGCTAATATGATAGTGTATCATGCATGTGTGTGTATATTTAAGAGTACATCAATGTCAATTGTATGTCACAATAGTAGGTTATGACCATTTACGACACAAATGTATTGAACGTACTTAGGTATAACCTACAGGTTAATAAGTGTGAGGAGATAGACTTCTTTATGCTAACATTACTCATAATAAGTTATATACTGTGATTAGAATTTATTATACACTATACTTTATTTGATTATAAACACATATTTAAGTGTAAATCTTGAGAAATTATGAAATCACAGTGCATGTGATAAACGCGAGGTAAGTGTCATAAAATAATTTCTAAGCTGCTTATTGTATTAATTACAATTAAGATTATGATAAAGTATAGTTCTATCGTTTGTAAAATATATATCACATGTTTCATCTAATTAAAATACTATAGATTATATTTTATAGTCTATAGTACTATATTTTATAGTCTATAATATCTTACAATATTTAACATTAATTTTTATTATAAGAAATTATTTAACCTTAAATAATAAATTCATTTTTAATATAGATACACCGTTAAGTCCTTACAAGATTTATTAAAGAACAATGAAAGGATGCCATGGGTGAACATAACAATGGTCCTTATGAACAACAGCTTCTTGCTGTATTTGAAAGTTGTTTGATGAAAGGACAAACAGAACTGAAAGAAGAGGATCTATCCTCTTTATGCAATAAATTACAACTCCATAACCGTGGAGATGAATTAAAGGAATGTATTAAAAAATGTACTCCAGGAAAACGATCAATTTCATTTCAAGAATTTCGAGGTGGATTATTACTTCTGTTGGGCAAAACACAAGAGCTGTTGACTCAAGGTGACACGGATTGTACTATACAATTACAGCAAGAAGTAAATATAAATAATGATAATGATAAAATTTCTGACTTTCCAAACTCAGAAATTCAAGAATCTCATATGAATGATAGCAATACAAAAACAGGTAATCCTTATATTCACTATATGTCTTATTTTATGATAACAATTATTATATTTGTATAAAGCTTTGCTATATCTGACTTTTCTTTTATATTCTTTTATATTTCTAACCTATTAAATACATTTTATAGGTCTTATATTAGATAAAAATCGATTAAAAGATTTATGGCAAAAAATGAATGTATGTTTCAAAGAAAATGCAGATACTGCAGAAAAATATTACATGTCTAATCACAGGGAGACTTCTGCACTTCCAAAACAAGTATTTATTTGAATTTTACAATTTGTAATAATATATGAATGCAGTCAAACATAAGCTTATTTTTCCCATAGATAGCTCAACGCATATTTGAAAAACTTGATCAAAATAGCGATGGTCTTATTAGTTTAGATGAGTTTTTAGATATATTTAAAAATCAAACTATTTTACAAGAAGAATTGATTCTTCCTTGCAAGGATATATCTTCAAAATGTTTAACAAATTCAAATGAAGAAAAATCTGATTATGATACACTTCAACATCGTGATTCAGGGTATTGTATTAGTATATCTGTATTAGTATTTTACTGATTGCTCAATGTATATATTTGTTATATTAATCGAATTATAATTTTTATGAATTATTTATATTATAAATTACAGCTTTATTCAGCATAATATTGTTACCGATATGTGGAAAATGGCTGGTATTTCTGATGCAGCTTCTCTTTTATCAGATTTGGGGTATAACTCATCAAGTATTAATTTAAGTGATTTGGTTACTACCTTATGCGATGAATTGAAAAGTCTTAATGATTCTATAATCAATACAGATATTCAGCCTCATATTAGTTTGTTGAAAGGTGTTTTTCTTCTTTATAAGGAAGAATTACGCAACTTGAAGTAGGTTATAAGCAACTGTTTTATCGTAATTTAATACGGATTATTATGAAATTATAAAAAAGTGATATTAAAAAATTCTGCAATCGTAATATATTTATTCAATAATATTGTTTGTACTTTACAGCATTTTGATAGAAAATATAACAGGTGAAAGAGATAAATTGCGAGTTGATGTAATAGAGGCTAATGAGAGAGCGAATTCCCTTGCACAAGAAATTGATGAACATCATTTTCGGCAAGAGGAAATTAAACAAAATTTATTAAAACAGATCGAATATAAACATTCTGAGATTATAAAGGATTTATCAAATCAACTTAGTTTGGAACGTGAAAGTAATGCTACTACTTTAAAAGTAAAAGAACAACAGTTACAAACGCAGCAACAAGAAAATTATCAAAATAAAAATAAACTTTTGACTGCTTTACAAGATAATCAAATTCTAGAAACAGAAAATGAAAATCTCCGAAGTCAAATAGATAAGCTAAAAGAATCTAACAATGAACTTTTGATGCAAATTAAAATGCTTGCTGCGGAACATGATGAGGTATTATATAAAAAAATAAATTAATGCGCTTGGAAAAAATTATATTTATGAAAAAAGACGCTATAATTTAATATTATAGTTTTTCTTTTTTTATCTTTTTTTTTCCTCCCCCTATCACTTTTAGGTTGATGATATAGATGCAAAGAAGGAAGAACAAGTTCTACATTTAATCGATCGTATGAAACAGTTGCAGTCAGAAATAGTTTCCCTGCGCGATCAAAATGATGAACTTACTATAAAATTGGAGATATCAAGATCACGTGATAGTGAAACAAATTTGCGAGCAATTAAAAATGAAGGTAATAAATATTCCACGTAACTATTTTTATAACTTTATTTATTATTTTAATTATTATTTTTCCTTTTATGTGATATTTATTATAATGCAATATCATTTTATTGAATAATTTTAGCAGTTGATGCTACTGTCACATCGGAAACAAATACCAACGTAGAAACGACTTCGCAGAAAGAGGAAATTGTATGTATCGAATTTTTACGTTTATGATTTTATATTTTTTTATAGGTATCAAGAAAAATAAAATTATTAATGAAAATTCATATTTTCATATATAGCTTTATCTAATGTGTATATATATATATATATATGTTTATAGCTATCCTGCAGCAATGGTATAAATGAAAAAGTTGAATTGCTCAAAACGGAGATAGATACAATAGATAATAAAGAACAAATTATAAAAGATTTAAAAAATATGTTAATAAAATGTGGGGATTGTTCTTGTGAAAACTGTGATTATAAAGATGCAATATCTTCTGTTATTTGTGGACAATCAAAGTTCAACTCATTTTCGTTAACCGAAGAAATTGATTTTTCTAAAAGTCTTGCTTCTGAGCTTGAGACTGAATGCGAAGAAAGAACAAGTGAATCATTAAGAGATTTTGTTGTTTCTAAATGTAATAAAACAACGTCTGCGAAACGGGTGATGCATAATAGTAATGATACAATGATTTGTTCTACGGATACCAATTGTAATCATGCAGATATTAAATCATTACAAAATAAAATAACTAGTCTTCGAGATTATCCACCTCGGAAAGATGAATATTCTATTACGGATCATATGAAGAATTTAAAAGAAAAAGATATAACGTCCAATCATAGTGTGCCTTGTAATGAATCTGATAAGAAAAACAATACGACTTTATCTAACAGTGATAATTCTCTTACTAATTTAGTTTCTCAGGAACAAGAAAATTGGTGGCAAACTGAGAAAAAACAATTGACTGAAAGATGTTTAGAATTAGAAGGAAGTCTTGATTTATTGAAAGCAGAATATGAAGAATGCGAAGATTATTGGGCTGCTAAATTGGAAGAAGAGAGGCAGTTGTTCGAACAAGAACAAAAAATAAGTGATGAAAAATTTTCAGAGCTTATTGCTAAAATGGCAGAATATGAGGAAATGATTAGTCCAATAGATAAAGTGAAAAACGGTGGTCGATTATCTCCTATAGAAGAAAAATTTAATTTGGAACAACAGGTAACTCAATTTGTTTTTGATTATTTATATTTTAATAATTTTTTAACAATTTCATTTTATTTAATTTATTTTGATTTAATTTATTTTGATTTAATTTTTATAACAGTTTACTTTACATTTCACATCTATGCCATCATTTTATTAATATACAATTACATTATTTTTTGTTTGAAAAATTGAAAGGATATTTTCTTTTGTAATATAGTATTTAGATTTGGAAGAAGAATTTGAACAATGGAAAGTGCAAACAGAGAAGGATATTTTGGAGAAAGATAAAGAGATTAAAAGTTTATTTGAAAAATTGAAACATTTGGAGAGACCAGAAAAGATTGATATTTCAATTCAGGTATCAGATGAAAGCATTTTTCAACGATCTTGTACTTTTTGCAATAATATTCCCATGGATTCATTTAACGTTGAATCGTATATGCAATTGCAACCGAGGTCACCTCAATATGATGGGAATACATCTAAGGTTACAGAAAATTTTAAAGGGGATCATATATTTGAAAATTCAATGCCTTCTAATCATTTTATGTCGCAAGTTATAGAGGAAGAAAGTTGCGTAGAAAATTGTCATTCAAATCAATTACCGTCTATTAATAAAGCGGATACAAATAATGTATATAAATGTGAAAAATCAGAATCGGGAGAGAAAAAAACGAATAATATTTCTGAATGTACGACGTTTACAGAAAAAGAAGATAAAAAAAGTAAATTCAAGCATAGCATGTCCAGAAAAGAAAACAATTTATTAATACAAGAATTAATAAAATCGCAAACTTTAAATAGTTTACATTGTCAAGGTTTGCAAGATATTGCACAACAACAAGTATGTAATATTGACATAAATATATTGGAAAATCTAAATATGAAATTACAGATTCAAGAACGTAAAAAACGCCAATTAGAAGAATATTTTATACAGCGGCAACATCATATAGAACAAGTATTACATCGTAAGTTATTATTGAAATTTCTAATCAACGTAACACTTGTCGAATTAATTGGATTTATTTTGAAATATATTTAAATTTCATTTATAGAAACTTTGTCTCAGCATCAAATAGAGGTATCTGAATTACGGTGTCTTCTTTATAATACTCAAGAAAAATTACAAATTCAAATTCAAGCAAATACTGAACAGGTATGCTTAATTTTTTATTTTTTTTATTTTCTTTTATATTTTTTTTTTTTTTTTTTTTTTATTTTTTTATTTTTATATATTACCTTTAAGTAGAACATTGTAAATAAGGATGATTTTATTTCTTTTTTTATATCGTTTCGTTATAGGCTAAAAGATTAGCCGGAGCTGATATGCTTGCAAAGGATTTATTTATAGAAAATGCATATCTAATAGCAAACTTAAAGAGACTCAAACAACATTGTTTATTATCAGGAGTTAATTATGAATCTACTTCAATATGATACTTCTGTTATCTACGACTATGATGATGTTATCTAATAACGATGATGCATCACTCAGGGATAGGTAGATTTGAGAAGTATTAAAAGAACATTAAACATGTAAGAATAATTTAATATAATATTACTTAGTGTTAAATATTCTGTACTATGTACAGATTGCATAAAATCTATAATGCACAGGTTAAAAGTTATTCAATGAAATTTAAGCTTTTATATATGTAGAAAACAAAATAAAAAAGAAGATTTGTTCCTATTATAAAGCAAATAAACGCATAGATTTATTGTACAGTATTGTAAAGATAATAGATTATTATCACTCACGCATTATGTATATTTGCAATAATTATTATATATTTGTAGGTTCTCATTTTTAAAATAATATGTTTAACATTTATATTTCGTAAGTACTTAGGAAGTAATAGCAATCTTATCGTCATAAATTGAATAGTTACTGCTTATGAAATTTAGCGACAATTCTACCTAGTTTTCTATTATTGTCAATAAAAGATTACTAATATTAATGAGATAAATTGTAAAAGTTAGTTAGAAAAATATTAAAATTGTAAATAATACACTTTATCCTGCAGGAATTTATGATCAAATGGTATATCAAGAAATATTCTATATGATCATAGAATTATTTCATTTACAATATTATTTTTTTTTATTCTCTCTTGAGATTATCAGGCGATTATCTTAGATTATTAAATTACGATTTATTTACAGTACTATTCAAAAACATGCATTTTTGGGATCTAATTAAATCTAAATAGATAAAATATGCGTTAAATATTATCAATATAAAAACACATTTTATATCGCTAGTATTAAAAATATTCGATCAATTCGTTAGTCATAATTTATTAGCCTATTTTAGATCTTTATAGTCCTTTGATTAACATCATATTTAAGAAGCAAGTATTTATTTTTTTTTTTTTTTTTAGATTTTTTCAGTGAATGTGCCAAAGAAGACTACATTATTACGTTTCTAGTAAATATGAAAGAAAGAATTCCCATTTTTTCTTTTTCTTTTTCTTTTTTTTTTTTTTCTTTTCGTACATGTGCTATGTTATATACATATATTCGTATATGTACAGATTAATATTTTGGACGGACAATGGATTATATTAAACAATGTTTATTTCATATTTATTTTCTATCATATTTTGTTTATCCAACAAATATTTGTGAGATAATATCTGTGAAATAATTTTCGATTTACATAATAATTATCGTGGCAATATTAAAATAAACAAAATATAGAAATAATATTTTGATTCGGGATTAACATAATTTTTTAAAATAAATAACTTGTTTCTGAATACTTTTACATATATATATACATATATATATATATATATATATATATATATGCAGAGGAAAAAAAAAAAATGTTGTACCTGTCTTTTTCGAGTATTACATTTATATACAAAGTTTAACTTTGTCTAAATGATTAATTCTATTTGATCATACGTTCTTTCCATTTAAAAATCGATGTAATGTTTTATAATGTGCACGAGTGTTTCCTATATGAATTTAATTATTTAAAATGTGCACGTAATATATGCTGTTGAGCCAATGGAAATGCAATTATACTGTTTGTGCTTCGTTTGGAGTATCATTTATATGCCATTCCAGCATACAACGAAAATGTAGAATCTAATGGGATATTTTATAATATATGCATTTACATATTCTTTTTAATTATTTACTTGATAATTGTATTTTTTATAACATCTAAATCAATTATTTTACTTTAGAGCAAACAAACGAAAAAAGAACAAAAAAAAAAAATAACGAACGGCTGAGAGAAATTTGTTAATTTCTTATAGTAAGTTCTTTATAGTAAATGATAATACACCTTTATCGTATATTAATAATATTGATAATTACGAGAATGTATGTATAAATGAAATACATACGATACGTGCGCATCATATGTGTCATGGATGCATCTTTTAATTAAATTATTTACGAATTAAAAGCTTCTCATTTTTTTTTTTATTTTTTTTTTGTTTTTATATATATATATATATATATATATATATATATATATAAATTCAAAACATCCGTAATAAAAATAATTTCTTTGCTTCATCGTACGACATGTTTATATTATTATTTTATGTTAACCCTTCGATTATTTCGTGAAGAAATTGTTATTAGCAATCATAAACATATGGCAATATACATACATACATACATACATACATACATGCATATATATATATACATGTGAGTATTTCTAGAATCGATAAATTCAATAATTACATTTGTAATGTACGATCTTCTATAATTCTACGAAATATACGATCGTAATCAATTTGAACATACTGTATGATAACGAGTTATGCAATGTATTTATAATGTAATATTTGTATAAATAAAATCTCATTCTGATTCCTCATATTAATAATAAAGATTTCTCCTCGATTACATTGATACGCGCATAATAATAATAATAAATAACAGCATACAATTTTTATCATTGCTGTCTTCTTTTTTTTCCTCTTCCTCCTCCTACTTCCCTCCCTCCCTCTCCACCCCCACCTACGTTGCAACCTTCTTAAACGCACGCCCTATAATTTTGAAATTTCGCAATAACACCAGCAATACTTTGAAGATATAAAAATATTACGAGTAAGAAAACATCTTTTATATTTACAACACGAATATCAATTGATTTACGTATATCATTTTAATAAGATATTATTTAATTCTATTATCCGATAATTTCAACGTAATGTTAATTATCGTGTCGTTTTATTATTATCACAACATGTCCACTTAAACACGTGGACGTAGGTTCTTGGCGCTGAAAAAAGAAAAAAGAAAAAAGAAAGAGAAAGATGAAAAGAAAAAAAATGAAAAAGTAAAGTAAAGAAAAGAAAAGAAAAGAAAAGAAAAGAAAAGAGAAGAGAAGTGAAGAAAAGGCAAGAAAAGAAAGAAGACGAAGAGAAGAATGTATTCTGCAAAGGTGATTACATTGCATCGCGGTTATGTAATAGTGACGGCTACTGAAAGACTTTCGCAGGAGACCGCCAAAAATGTCCTGGCCGTTGGGAGGTTCCGCGCGCAAAACCGCACGTAGAGAAGAGAGGAGGCATTACTGGTAGCTGAGGTGGTAACGGCGATGCTGCTGGTGGTAGTAGTAGTGGTGGTAGTGATGATGGTGGTGTGCTGCCGCTGATGATGATGATGATGATGATGATGATGATGATGATGATGATGATGATGATGGTGGTGGTGGTGGTAGTGGTGGTGGTAGTGGTGATGGTGGTGGTGGTGGTGGTGTTGTTGTTGGTGGTAGTGGTGGTGGTGGTGGTGGTGGTGGTGGTGGTAGTAGTAATAGTAGTAGTGGTACTAGCACATCGCGATGGCGGTGGTAGAAGAACATGACTGCTCGATCGTGACCCAGCGGAGCGGGGCGAAGAAAGGAATTGGAGAGAGATAGAGAGAGAGAGAAAGAGAATTAAACAAAACAACTTCGAACAGGAAAGAGAGAGACAAAAAGAAAGAGAGAGAGAGAAAGATGACAGGAGAGCGCAATGGTTTGTGCGGGTGGAAGAGGAGAGAAAAAGGAGAAGAAGGTAGAGGTGGTCTACCGGTGGTGATAGTGGTAGTGGTGGTAGCGGTAGTGGTCGTGGTGGTGGTGGTGGTGGTAGTGGTGGTGGAGATGGTGGTGGAGGTGTTGGTGGAGGTGGTAATGGTGAGGAGGAGGTAGGAGATGCAGCCTCCGCCAGTATCCACGTGTTCAGTGTAGTAGCGCGTTATGACCCGGATGTTAGATCGTAGCTGCAGTTTCGCGAGAACCTGCCGACCCGGATGTCCCGCTCGACGTCTACCGCTGATCAACAGCTAATGTCCTCCTGGCCACCAAAATATGTTCAATCGGTAAGTCCGATAATCGGTATCGTGCTATTTACTTTTGCACCCTAGAATTTTTTATCATCGATGGACTTGGGAAATTCACGATCTAAAGAATCTCGATGGATAGACGGCAACGGAAGGAGGGCGAGGGAGGGCACGGATATATAGATCTTTCCATTGTTTTTTTAGGATCTATTGACTTTCTTATAACGCTATTTACTTTTCACGAAGTTAATAAAGATATTACGAAGGGTAAGTTATAAAGAATAACTTTCTAGCGGGGAATCTTTCTTCCTGAGTTCTTTCCATTTTTTAAAAATTGATAGATTGATAAGGTTGACAATAATAAAAAGAACCGATAAAAAATGGCATCGTTGGATAAGTAGAATTCTTATACGTGTTAACGTCTGTCCTTACTCAGTTAATATCACTTGGACGAAGCGAGCGTAGATAATCCCGTGTTATTTCGTTCGCGATCGTGCGAGTCAGAATTTTCGTCGTAGACGTCGTCGTTCTACGTCTTTCAGATGAAATACGAGATTGCAGAAAGGTGGAAGAGATAAAAAGAAAAAGAAAGAAAGGAAAACAAACAAAAAAAAAAAGAAAATAATAAAACAATAAACAAGAAAAAGAAAAAAGGGAGAACGTTATTCGATGGATAGAGGAGGAGGAGGAGGAGGAGGAGGAGGGGGAGAGGGCGAAAATGCGAACGCGGCAGTCGCGATGGAACGTATGTTTAGTGGTAACGCATCGGTGTGTGCTTGAAGGATAGATGCGAGCAAATCGACGAAAGGCGCCAGCAAACTACGAAGGGACCTGATAAATGCCGAAATCGCGAATCTACGTGATCTACTCCCGCTACCG